TTTTAACTGTGTAACCAAAATCTAGATGCACTGAAGCGACTTTCTGCATGCAATCCTCTTGGTGATTAAAATTTAAAATTCCCCTAGCTCACGAAAGGTTGGATTTTGAGCATGCTAAAGCAAAGGCGTTAAGATCTTGACAGCGCCCCGCGCCCCTTGCTGCTCACCTCGTTCTGATGCACCGCCTGAACTCCCCGCAGGTCGCATTGGTAGAGCTCAGTCTACTTTTTTTTTGCAACGCATGTAAGTAAGACTGCACACAGTAAAATACCAGCAATAAGCCGTGCCATGCTGTCGCCCTGTTATTGGGCAGGATAACGTAAATTTAATATTCCCTAGAGTGCGTTCTAAGCACCACGCTAATGAATGTGCCCCTGCAGGAGTAGGGATAAGATACCCTTATGCTCTCTCTGAAGCTGGTTTGAGCAACTAAATATTTATCTAGAGAACGAGTGCCATTTTGTAGCCTGATGACTAGGACAGCAAGTACTAATTTAGTTTCAGTCCATCCTCCTTGACTATTCAAGTAAACTGAAAGGTGGGTTGCATCTCCTATGGACTATTCCCTTTCTTACCCATTTAGCAGTTAATAATATTAATAATAATAATTGCAGCTCGGAAGCAGGGTTAGAGTGCACAGAGTTTGAAGCGCTCTCTCTGAGGCGACGTCTCCACTTATTTTTATATAATTTATTTTTCAAGCTTGAAAGTAATTGGATACTCCACCATTTTCGTCAAGTGCTGCTTTTTTCTTTAGGCATGAGTGTTCCAGCATGGATTCATTTGTGCGAAATCTAGATTTCAGACTGTCAAGCCAGTGGGGAAGAATGTCTTCCTGTATCACAATACCTATCTACTGTCCCCATTAGATTTTGTTCCTAGCTTATAGTAATGCAGTTCAGTTTGTAGCCGAACCAAAAAAACTTACAACAAAAAATAAACATTATCACAATGAAAATCTATGCAAAAAGACAGCAAAATGCAGATTTATTATATGGCTCCATTACAAATGTATTTGCTTCTTGCTCGGTTGAAATGCAATAAATTGGAATGTACCATTTACAACCTAAATGATTACCACATGAAAAAAACAGTTCAGCTCAGCAAATACAAGCTACCAATTTCAATATCTGTAGGATTTTTTGTTAACAAAAATATTTTTTAACAAGCCCTGAACCACTGGACAGGTATCATCACTGACACACAGTGGACACCTATGGTACAATACTGCAGTGCAGCTTTCTAATGCAAAGAGCATCAGTCCTCCAGTGCTCAACAACCCTAGCAGCTACACACATCTGCTTCTTCAGAGTGGGTGTACAGTCCTGTTTCCTTAAAACAGAAGTTCCATATTGCTGTGTTTATAACATTACAGCTATGCAAAACCACATTATGGAGCCCAGTGCAGAGTCAAAAGCTGCCATTACTAGTAGCACTTGCTGCTTATGGTGGTATATGACAAAACCAAAAGTTTGGTTATCTTTGCTTTTACATCACAAAAATTTGACCATATGATCTCACCTTTGTTTCTAGCAAACTTTATTTTTTTGGAGTTAAACATGCCCTCATAAACTTGCATTTGGCAGAGATGTACCAAAAGCTCTGGAAACAAGCACTGTTCAACAGAAGGGCCAAGTTCCAGAGTGACATGGGAATCTACATGTCGTGATAGGTAAGTGATCCTACCTATGTGTACTTCTGCAACTAAACATTGAGATGTTTGAACTAAAACAAAAATACGTATAGAAATGGGCTACACTATCACATTTGACATTCTAACAGATACAGCTTGGAGTAGCAACTGTAATTTAAAAAAAAAATCTCACATTTGCAAGTTTACGGTTGCTTTAGGTTGCTTTTAGAACAAAAGGAAGAACACCGAAAAGTCAGTTTAACGAGAACGTGTTACTGTTTATTGTGATAAATAAACTAGCAATGAATAGAATTGGTTCAGAAAACAGGGCATCCCGTTCTGAATGCTTTGGGGTTCAGTTGGCATAGATTAGACATTCAGATGCTTTATCACTTATCAATTTTACTGTGCAGAAACCAAAACTCTCTTCATTTGTCTTATCCTCTACTTCAACCAGCCACTAGGACTCTTAAGGCAGGCACCGGCCAATTTGCCTGCATGCTAGCCTTTTAACATTCTTGGTGCAAAGAATGTACTCTGAGAGAGGTGCAGAGGACTTCCTTAAGTCAGGTGAAAGCAGCAGAGTGAGATTTTCTTTGTATATATGAGCTGATCACCTTAGCCACCCTTTGAACTTAGTGGAGAGGAATAATTGCTTCAAGTACATGACATCTCACATCCTAAAGATGCTTCCTTTAGGAGATGAATCATGTTTCAGAGTACCTGCTACAGAGAAACTAGGATGAAGAGCTCAGATATCTATATCTGAAGCCTAGAGGAAACAGTTTGCACTTAATAGCCCCAATATTTTAAACGAACGATTCAAATACTATTGAAGATCTTTATTTCTCAGTGCTCATAGATATGTTCCATACCCCCCTCCCCCCAATTCCAAGTTTAAATCCTAAGTATGAAATTAAATAATGGAAACTTCACGTGCTTGACACTGGCCTAGACATGAGAGAAACATACAGTGAGGGAATCATTTGCGGAGTTCTTGCTAAAAAGTGACTGTTATCCATAGCAGTCATTGTGAACATTTTTCTGACTCCATTTTGTGCATTGAATCATTCTGTATTTCTCTCCTTAAAACAAGCAGGCATTGAAAAAAAAAAAAAAAAGGTACCCACATTTCTCCAGAATCACACAGGTCAGCAGATAAAGATGAAACTTTAGTCTTCCATAATTAGCAATGGTGGAAAAATCCATCACACTGAAAGGACAGACTACGTGTACAACAATGGTTACATATAAAACCACTTTTTCTACATCTTTCTTTCAGGCTGTGTGTTCTGCACTACTCTAGGAGTCAGTTAAGAGGTATGAAAAAACAAGCAAAACATTAATTTATTAACATTTTAATAAAACTCACGGTATTATTTGCATGCTCAAAATGTTTGTGAAAATAAAGTAAAAAAATATTTAGTGTTTTTGAAAGGCTTATGGAAATTTTTTATTAAAAAAGCAGTCTTGTTTGTTGTTTCTTTTGAATCCAAACATGCCTCAACATTATGCTCAGCCATAAGTGTATCCTTATTACCATCATACAAATAATCACACTGAATTTCTACAGCACTAAAAAAATGACATAAAACGAACAACCCCCCCACCCCCCCAAATCATATGATAGGTAGCCAGATAACTAATCGAGAAGAGATCATGTTGTATGCATTGAAGTGTAAACAGCATTTTCCAATGCCAACAAAGTGTCTAATTTTTTGGCATATCTCTTCCATCTAAAACTCTTGAGTGGGAGGGCAAATTGATTTCCACAGAAGAATTCTTTTGATTCATAATAAGCTAGAGAATTCATACCCCATACATAATATTGATCTACTGGATTTCTTTAAAGCTAATGTGACAGGCAACAGGGACAACTATACATACAAACTCCATGATGAGAATAATAATTTAAAATATGTCATACTGCAAATATACAAAGACTACCTGATTTCATTTAAAACATTTACTTCCTGCTGTAAACTACCTCATCTAGCAGGATCCTGACTCTTTAATACTTCATGACTGAAGTAGCTAAGTATTCTCTATATCAGATGCATACTAGGCTATGTATGGAAAACCTTCAAAATCGGCAACTCATACCAAAGGGTGTATCTATGTCAGCATGTTTCAGATTCCTAAGTTGGTACTGACTGAACTATGATAGTTTTCAAAAGCTGACTAGTCATACTGGCACAGCATTTTGCTGGATCAGTATGGATACTTCTGAAAGAGCGTGTTTATTCCCAACAAAGGCATTCTGAAACTCATTTCTGAAAATCTTGTTCCAGAAACCAGAAGAAATAAACAGTTGCATCAACTCAGTACCCTGTATGAACTAATTAGTCCTGCTGAGAAACAGGGTTTATTAGCATGAGAGAAGCACTGAATTAATACAAATGCATACCTCTGGTACTTCAACTAGAATTAGTATGGCAACATATTGTGCCCATTTAAGCAGATCAATTCATTCAAAGCCAAATCTGTGGACAGCACCACACTGCTACAGTCTTGCTGGCCACAGATTTATAGTCTGGGATAAGTATTACATTGAAGTAGTTGCACTACTTGTAGTACCCCAACTCCATCAGAGGATGCCTGGGTAGCTGTGCAGTATTGCATTGTGCTCTGTAGACACACTTGGTTCTTGACACAACATTCAATCCCAAGCAAAGTTATAATTAAAAAGTAGACTGCCGTAGCTTCAAAACACAGTGCAGATGTAGACCGTTTACATGGTGGTCAGATGATAAGGTCACGTGACATGCTGTTCTATGGCAGGCATTTCCCCGACATTTTACATGTTTCCACACATAGATGAGTTGTATATGAAGACGATTCCACAACCTCCTATACAATACTCATTGGACAAATTAGGAAAGCTGCAATTACTGCATTGATCAATGTCTTCCTATGGGGAAAAAACAAACAAACGCAGGAATATGAAAAGAGAGGTAAAGTTCCTCAGTTTTCACATTCAACAGCAATCTTCCAATCTAAAAAAATAAAACAGAAAAGTGAAAAAAATAAATACAGACATGTGAATATTTCCTGAAGCAGGAACATAAACATTAGCACAAGACAACTCTGGACAGCCAGATTTAAACATGTGTCAAGGCGCATTTTGAAAACTGTATAAATGGGTAACATCTCTGAATCACCCCCACATCACAGTGTGATCAGTTTACACATTAACAGATATGCCTGTTTAACTGCTACTTCAGCAAACCCATGAGCAAAGGTGAATCTGAGTTCCCTTCAGATTACGCATCAACAGCCAGGGCCAGGTTCCCTGCTCAGTTACTTCTTCACAGAAATTTTTTCTTTATTCACCAACAATATAGTGGCTGCAAAGTCCTCAACTAGAAAGGACTGCAATGCCTTAGAACACAAGGATTAACTCCTGCAGACAGTAAACTATTTAGATCACCAGCCTGCCAGCAGAGCTAAAGCAATTCTGACTTGTTGCCAAAGGTCTCTGCTGTAAGAACAGAAGACCGGCAACTCCTCCATCACATCACCCTTCTCTCTTTTCCTTTTGCTGCTTGCTAATCTCTCTCTCTTAGTCTAGGAGTATTTTCTCTACTTGAGGATACCTCAGCAGTACACAGGATGACAGGCCTTTTATGGTCTGTCGGTACACAGGATGACAGGCCTTTTATGGTCATTGTTCTCATTTACACCTGTACAAATCCTACACGCCAAAGGGAAGAGCAGAAGCAAGACAAAGCCGTAACTCAGAACTACAAGTGTAGACTGGGTGCTGGTGAGAATCTGTTCTTCCAGAATTTCATTAACTTTGTAGGACTGACAGGAGAAAGCAGTAATTAAACTGAACTGGACAGGTACTCTTCATACCTGAAGAGATCAGGTTTTAATAGAAAAATGTACTTTTTTCAGAATCACTTTCAGAAATAAAACAGCTTTTGATATTCATCCCGCTACTAAAAAAATCAGATGAAGATTTCAAATTACAAATCAATGCAAATATTGCTATTTATTCACAGCTGTGAAATTCCATCTGCGTTACCTTTATATACCTATATAAACATTTTAAGGGACTTTAAAAACAGTCTGAAAACAAAAATAAAAAATCTCCCAAACTCCAGCTGAAATGTTAGGATCTCTAAGAGCGTTCAAGTGTGCACATTGGTAGTGTTATTACTTTTAAAAACTATTGGCTGAATCCCTTACATGGACAAAAGTAGCCATGTAATGTTAATAGTAAGCAGCATACACTGACAACCTGAAAATAAACATCAGGCTTCGCCTTTCTTTTGCAATTGTTCCAGTTTTCTTCTTAAGAGGTTGTAGTTTTCCTTGGTCCCTGGTGCCAAAGGATCAAGCTTCAGAGAGACTTCATAGTGCTTCTTTGCTAAGTCAAGATTTCCCCAGCGATGATAAAGCACAGCTGGAAAAATCAATGAGGAGTTTCATTAGCAATATTGTTGAATAACATGCAATCTTGCCAATCACTTGGAAAACAACATTAACGCATTTGTTTCCAGTGAGGGTCTCTTTTGCTGGCTGGTGGCACAGTAGCTGCTTGTTCTGCTGCCAAATGCGGGAGCAAAGCCTGGGAGCAGAACTGGCATGGGACTGATGAAGGAATGAATTACATTGTAGCCATAAGTGGCAGTTCTTATCTGGTGAGCTCATAGCAGGTTACAAGCAGAGCATAAATGAACCAATTTGCAGCCACTGAAGTGCAGCTACCTCTGGGCTGGACTGTGCAGCCCTCTTGATCTGTCATATTGTGTGACAGCTTTTCTGGTTTACTGCCCTGTTCTCTTGCTAGCAGCTTTTCTAGAAAGTAAAATAGAAGTCTGCCCAGCAGGAAGAAGTCTCAAAAGATTGCTTTTTCTTTTTAAAATGCAATGAATATGAAGCAAACAAACAATGCAGTTGATAAGAGTTAGAAAGGCTCTTACCCAAATTACCATGATAACTGGCAGCATTTGGATTGGCTTTAATTGCCTTGAGGAACAAAGCTTCAGATTCCTGAATAATTTAGAAGAACAAGTCAACATGACAGACTGCTCTTGTAGTACGTAACATAACGCAAAATGTATCCAAATTTATAACTAAAGAAAAACACAACAAAACCCCAAAATATTATGCCATATCTATACAATACCGCAATATACATACTGTAAGCCTGCCCGATCCTGTAGCGCAGGTGGCTTTCACCTCCAGAAAACAGTGATAATGGTACAAATATGTACCGTAATTTCGCAGGCTCTTAATGAAGAACAGTGAGTGCCTGTTACATTCCCACTTGCAGTGTGTACTCTTACGACTGTTGATGCCTGAGTACTTCTTGGAAAAGTTGAACTCCCTCACCAAATATTCAGAGGAACAATTTACTGCTAAATGCACTCTCTAATTCAAACGTTTTTATTTTCCCAGGCTAGCTGCTGATACAAAACTTTAGTTCCAGAGCATATTTCCTGTAGCAGTTCAAGAAGATACAAAAGAAACCCCAACCCAGATAGACCATATTTACTTGCCTGTGGAAGATATTATTGAATACTGGCTATGTGACAAGGGGCATGACGACAAGATCACAAGGCCTGCTTAAATGCAGTTAGACACAGAATGTAGGACCCTGGTTTAGAAACTAGAAAAATAATGTAGAAACCAGTGTCTTGAGAAAAGCACATGACTTGCTACTAGTGTCTTGGGAAAAGATGCATAGCCTTCTACTGTATCCATTTAATAGATAACAATGCCTTCTACTGTAGCCACCTATAAGGAGCTTGGCTTTTGCAATATGTATGAGCTAATTAACTCTGTTATATAAGTAATAAGATAATTCTGAATAAACTGAGACTTGTTGATCATCATCGGATGCGCTTGTCTCCCGTTGTTCTCCGACACTTGCCTACATGCAAGTTTAGATATTTAGATATCTTACATAGTTTCTACGTTATGCTGTATTTTAGGGGAAGTTGCACATTTAGTTTCTGTGCAAATGACCTGGAGATAAAATTGCTTCAATGTGGTAGGTTCCTGTTCTAATGCACATACTTACTGTCTGAAGTATGTCAGGAAAAGCCTTTCAAATTGTTTTGTGCTAAACCTTTATTACTTATGTCCAGAAAACAAAATACAGGCTCTACTGAAAAATAAAAGCTGAAAAGCTGTCAGCCAGATTTTTGGTTCCACATATTCTCATGTGCAGCATGAAATAAGACTCTGTAAGGGTCCGTGAGGTGGCAAGAACAAGTTTTTGATGTCAAGATTAACAACTTTGAGTGACTTAGAGTCTCCAAGTATGTCCAAATTCTAAACCAAAGCCCATGCTCCTTTCAGAATTTTCCTGAGGAGAGCTGGCACTGCCACTCTTAGGCCAAGACAGACTCCTGCAGAAGGTGCCTTCATCTTCTCAGGACAAGCCAATTACAATACCTAGGGTCTAGACAAATCCTTTAGTGGGACCCCACTGTTTCAGAAGAGGGAATATTTGGATAGGCATGAACATGGGAAATATCTGGAAATTCACAGAGTATGCGAATTTGCAGTGCAAGTTTAAGCTTTCTTTTCCCTGGCATAAGCAGCAGCTGCATCATTCTCATACCCAGACTATTAATGACCCTGGTTGCACTGGTCTCTGTTGAGACCAATACTGTTAATGTCTTCATTAATGACTTCAAAGACAGGACATACTCTCAGCAATTTCACAGATGACGCCTACTTTGAAGGAACGGTCAGTATGCTGGAGAACATGGCTGCTATTCAGAGCGACTTGGACATGCTGGAGAAAGGGGCTGGTGGGAATCTCATGAAATTCAACAAAAGTAAACGCAAAGTCTTCCACCTGGGATGGCATAGCCCATGCAACAGTACAGGCTGGGGATCGATTGTCTAGGAAGCAGCTCTGCAGGAAAAGGTCTGGTAGGCCTGGTGGACAACAGGTTGAATAAGAGTCAGCAGCATGACCCCACAGCAAGAAAAGCCAACCACATCCTTGGCTGTACTATTAAGAGTGCAGCCAGTAGATCCAAGTAAGTGATCCTTCCCATCTAGCTGGCACTTGTAAGACCACATCTGGAATACTGTGTCCAGTTTTGGGCTCCCCGTTACAAGAACAAGGGCACAAGCCCAGGAGAGGGCCATGGAGATGGTCAGGGACTGGAGCACATGACATGCAAGGAGAGGCTGAGAAAACTTGATCTCTTCAGCCTTCAAAAAAGAAGGCGAAGGGGAGACCTTACTGCTGTCTGCAACTACCTGATCAGAGGATCAGAAGAGAAATGGAAGAGACAGAGAAAATGAAGTCAGGCTCTTGTCACAGGTGCACAGTGACAGAATAAGACATTAGAGAGACAAGTTGGTATACAGAAAATTCCAACTGGATAAAAGGAATTTTTTTAACCACGAAGGTGGTTTAACATTGGAAGAAATTGCCTATGAAAGTTTCATAATCTCCACTCTTGGAGGTGTTCAAGACTCAACTGGGCACAGCTTTGAGCAAGCTGATTTTGTTAGGCCTGCTTCGGGCAGTGGGTTGGGCTAGATGACATCTGGAGATCCCTTGCAATCTAAATTATTCTATGACTCTAACTCCATCTCCTGAGAGACATCCCAAGACCTAACGTTTGGCAAATCTAACAGTGCTGCAAGTTAACCTTCTCTTTACATGCAGCCATCCAAGCCCCAAAATCAGGAGTGGATTGGCACCTGAAAACATTGATTAGTCACAAGTCCCGCAAAGGTCTAATTTTTCCACTGGAAATTCTGACATTTTAGTTTAAGCAAATCTCTGCTTTCTTCACTGTGAAGGCTAACAGCAATTAAAGTGAAAAATGTGCTGTCCAGCTAACTCAGTCTTATGGCTAACTGTTGCCACCTACACAAAGAAGGAGCAGGTAATGTATGGACTCACCCCTCCACTGCTCAAGTATGATGGGCCAAAATGCGCAATGCTTTCCCGGAAAACTTAATGAAATATATGCTCAGAGCTGTCTCCCATTACCATACATCTTCAATCATATACTGAAAACACTTTTATTGCCACTGCTTTGCTCAGCAGCTAGTACAAGCATACTGCCTGATTAAAGGCTATTTAAGGTGCATCACATTCATATTACTGTAGATATATGGAGTAAATCTACATTTCAGTACAGCCAATAATATTTCAAATTGCTCTACCTTGCCAAATCTTTAAATTAAGTGTTAGGAAACTTGCATACTGTATACAGCAAAGGCTTTAGGAAAGCACACTGCATTCCATCTGCTGCCAGGACCACAGTGCAAATTTGAAGTCTGGCTTTATTTCAAATACAAAAAAAAAAAAACGCTGAATGGTGCCAATTTTTTGTATTTCTTACAGAAAAAGCATGGATGTATACCTAACAAAAATACAGTATACATATTTTCAAAGAACTAAAGATAGCTTGGTTCTTTGTCCACTGCAACAAGAACATGTATTTAAATAAGAAATATAGCTTGGTATAACAGATGTTAATTAAAAAAAAAAACCCCACAAAATAGTAACACTAAAACAGCTCATCCTTTATGAGCTTTTGTTTCTGGAACAATAAATCACTTATGAATAGATACAAACAGAACTCTTAAAAGCTTGGGTTTTTTTTGGCTACTTAGGAAAACCACCTTCTGCTGAAAATCAGTGTATTTGAAACTGAAGGAGAATACTGCTTACTTTGAGTTTACTATGAGTGTTTTCCTTGCTCTAAGTCTTTTAAAATAAGAAAAAATAATTAAAAAGAAAAACAAAGCAAGTCTTAGTTTATGGCAATAAAGCCAATACAGTAACAACTTTTATGCAATCACACAACGAGTGACCTAATAAAATAAATGCCTGAGGTTATGCAACACAGAGACAGCCAGGCAGTTGTCTGGCAATTTTTTCTACCACCTTGATGCTTTCTTTTTCCTCCTCCTATGCACACTCCATAAAAATCCTTGACAAGCCATCCGCTTCTCTCTGTCTTTACCTGTTGAGGGGCTGGACAAGAAATCCATATCTCCCATGCTTTTTATTGTCATTTACCATTCTCCAAGCTAAAAAAAAAAACAACTTTATCTCGTCTTTCCAGGCCATGCAAAATACAGCTGCTAAGGTCACTGTTTTCCAACCGAGTGATATCAATCCACTTTCCAAATCCCTTAAATTGCTCTCCTTATTACATCAGGCCATCCGTTTCAAGTTAGTAGTTAAGTTTGTGTTTTGCCCTAGACAAATCTACCACTCCCTATTGAACATACAGATTCTCTTTTGCTCCCTGCTTTCCCTGGGCTCCGCTGCTCCTTCCACTTCACTCGGGATGCTGGCTTCAAAGCTTCATTTTCTCCTACTATCATTTCCACTTTGTCTCCAATGCATTCCCCTGCGGCATAATGACCTTCCAGAGCTGTCCATTAAAATCACTACATTCTTTTTTATTTCTTAAATCCTCTAAGACAGACTTATTTCTCCAACCCTTGGAGAAAGTTTTCTTGCCAATTTTCTACTTATTTTTTCTACTTATTCCATTAGAAGTGTTCTTTAGCATGTCAGGCTGCATATTATTCTTGCTAAATAACTATACAATCCCCCATTTTTTCACACTCTTGACTCACCATGATAATCCTAGCAATTAACTTCTCCATAATCTTATTCCTTATACATTCTGGATGTTAATTTGTATACTTCTAGAACTTCATTAAAGTAACCTTCTAAAATATATATTTTATAGCAGTCTCAGGTGGGGAGAGAATAGAAATAGAGTGCACAAAAAACAAACCACCAGTCTAGAGAAACAGTCATGTGGAGTCTAACAGCATCACCAACGCAAACAAGAGCAAGCGTTGTGCTGTCACAGGCCCTGGCCTCACAATTGGACAGGTCATCACTCCACAGTTGAACAGGTCCGTGGAAATTAAAGTCTACACAGTACTTGGTAGAAAAATGTACATTCTATTCTGAAAGTTCTAACGTCATAAAATCTTTCACTTTGTATGTACTGAGGATGTTCCTTCAATGCTGCTAACATTACCACATATCAAAAAGCCATAGTTCAGTAAATGATGTTTTTCTGAGGGATACTAAAAACGCCCTTCATTATTAATTTGTCCCTATCGCTTAGGTTAGTGACTATGCAGTCAATTAAAACAATTAAATACATTAGCTGTACATGATTTACTCTCTGTCAACTCATATAGCTCCTTTGGAAAATAATACCTCTCTCATCTGTTATATTTACAAGTAGTAAATGTAATGTAAGTAGTTAATGTCAAAGTACCATTTGCTAGCTGGTTCTCTGTATCCAAAAGAAAGTTCTAAACATTGTTCTACGTATGGACTTCTTGTAATACTCTGGGCTCACACATGTATTCCTATCCCTGATCTGGCATTAGCTGGCATATGAGGTAGAGAGGCTAGAATTCATTCTGGCTATTGGTAAACTTTGCTTCTTTTACATACAAAAAGCACAAGAATTAGCACACAACTGTACCCTGCACTATTTTAGACCCTGAACCAAGGCCTTTAAATCAGATGAGGTTCACTATAGAGGCAATGAAGCAAGATAAGACCCTAACTGCCCTCTAGTGTGCCTAAGAGCCTATTTCTCTCTACCGACCACTGACATAGTTTAGGGTAACTACACTCCTAACACAAGCACCTAAAGTTAGGTGGGATGAATCCAGACCAGAGTTACACAGCATTTCTGTGACAGAAATGGGCATTGAAACCTGAGTATCTAAGTCATAGTCCACAATGGCTTCCTCAAACAGCTTCCACAGAAACTTACAGTTTATTTTTTAAATACACATATACACACACACACACATATACACACACACTCTCAGAAAGCTCTAGTTACCTACCTTATATTTTTGTGATTTCCCCAATACATTCGCCAAAGAAAACATAAGGGAATGATCATTAGGTATTAATTCCAGGGCCTCTCTTCCAACTGCTTCTGCTTGAGCTAGATTGCCTGGGAACCCATACAGTGGACAAAGAGAAGGCATCTTTTAACACAGCTTAAATTATTACTTCTCATGCTGTCAGCACATGTTATCATATGACTAGCTCATTACACGCAGTTCTAAAGAAAACCAGCTACCAGACACAAAGGTAATGCCCTGCAGTACAAGACACCTAAAAGAAAATCATACTTTTTGTTTTCAACAGATAATACTTCAATAAGAATAGCAAAGTACAGACTAGAGTTCTAAACTTTGGTCTATAACACAAACATGCTTGCACAATGATGGCACTTCAAACAAGGGACATCAGTTCAACTTGTGGGCTTGATCTTAAGTGATGCTCTATAACCATTGTGTCAGAAGGTATTCTAATATTTATAGACAGTTTCTTGATACTTAAAGAAGAGGAGAAAGTCCTTTTAGATAAAAAAAATAAAGCTTTGCGTTTTGCAAGACATTGAATTATTCATTAAAACATTCAAATGGACTTATACCTGTGTTATCAAGCAATATAATCATATTGTTCCAAGCCAAACTATGCTCTGGTTTCAGAACTGTAGCATTCCTCCATGCATTCAATGCATCTATATGGCGATTCAAATCTGCATACTAAAAAGAAAGAAAACCCCAGAAATTTCACCCTAATTTGCTTTACTTTCCTATCATACGCTGAAGACAGTAAAGAGTTATAATTTGTCTCACTCGATTCTAGTAGAATTTGTCTTTATAGGCAAAAATAAGAAATGTAAAAAGAATACTACAACAGTATGTAAAGTGGACTACTATACGTTCATTTTATATTTTCCACTGCTTTTCTCTGGTAACTAGGCTTGTTTTCAAATATATGTGTACCAATGGTATGGGGAAGAAAACAAACATGCAATTCAGAAATCTAAACAAGAGAATAAGTAAATATTTAATATAAATATTTCCAAGAATCTAGACTGAATTTTTTTGGCATAGTTCTACTACCTAGCCACTTGTTGAAACACACCAATAACTGCAAAACAGAAAACCTAATACTGAGAAATGATTATTATTAATCTCTTGAACAAAAGAACATAATCTATATTTTTGTTTATATATGTTTGCATGGAAAAAGTAGGACTAACAAATCAGTGTAGAAAGAAGTTTTCTGGGAAAGCAATAGAAAAACATGAAACCACCTTCAACTGCAAATGAAAAAACTGGGATAACTGTCAACACTTAAAAATGAAGCAGAATTTTATATACACACACAAATGTTACAGCTATCATTTGTTTGAAAATACTTACCAGCCTTCCTAAATTATAGTAACAATCTGGATATTTTTTCCTGTGTTTAATTGCTGTCCAGTAGCTTTGCTCTGCTTCTTCAAACCTTCTTAAACTGTTCTGTACTATTCCCAGATTCATCCATGCAGCAGCAAAATCAGGTCTAGGCAGTTTGGAAAAAAAAATAAAGACAGGACAATTAAGCATTGGGAAAACAGGATCCTATTGTACCATTTCTGCTCAGTTGATGCAAAACACTGCTTGGCATTGTTCTAAACATACTGTATTTGTACAGCCAAGGACAGCAACTCCTCTGCTTCTTGGAGCTCATTTCTTTCTTTCAGAATATTTCCAAGGTTGTTCATGGCATGCACATATTTAGGATTCAACCTAAAATTTGAAATTTAACAGATTATTATTTATAGGAAACATATTACTGTATGCAAATTATTAGCTCTGTAACACTGCAGAACACAAAAATGAAAACTTAAGCTTTTCCTCCATATGAAACATTAAATTGATTTTAGGATAGCTCAATAAAGCAATAACAATCCAAATACCTTACAGCTTCTCTGTAATATTTGATTGCAGCACTTTGATTTCCTTTGTCAGCCAAGTTTTTGCCAACATTGTAGTGCACCTGAAAACACAGATTGGCATTTTACCAGATACCATATAGTCAGATATTCTGTAGGGCCAAGCTGCTAAAAATTCTTACTCCAAAGAGATATAACCAGTATTTGTGTCCTTCACTACTTATGTTACAAGTAGATACACACTATGAACATAGTAAAACAAAATCTGAGGAATATATTAACAATTTAGGATACCTGTTCTAGCTAGTTAAAGAAAGATTATCCACTTCCAGATACTATAAATACAGTCACCACACTTTCCACAAGACTGCTCCTTACAGGCAGATCTCCTGCCCTTTATTTCATGTATTTGTCAGACGAGTAAGAGAAAGGCTGATTCAATCAAACCAACCTTAGCAGAAGAAATACTACAGAAATGATTACAGTATGATTAACTTTGCTTTACCTATAGAATAAGCCTGAAGAAATTCAGCATAAACAGAAAAACTAAGCTCCACTTAAAAAGAAAAACAGAAAACAAAAACAACTCTTACTGTCTTGGCTTAGGAGTGCATCAAGCACCATTTCTGAAATAAAATAAATATAATGGGTGTGGCAGCACGTTGGAGATCTTGCTTATTAAAAAATGCAGAAAGGAAGGAAGGATCCAGCACTTTGTGTGTAACTAGATAGGAATACGCACCATTTGAACTGCTGACAAGGACAAGACAAGAATTTCAGAATAAACCTGAGTTGGAAGATATCTCAAATCCTACCTTAAGACTATTGCCAGAAGACTAAATTATCTGATCGAAGGAAGACCCAAGTTTAGAAATATGACAGAAGTACTACGAGTACTTGCTCCTGAAAATAGACTTCTCAGCAACTGAATCAGAATTATTTCTTTAAATTACCTTACTATTTGAAATTAAATCGTGTATGCTTCAACCAAAACAAACACACAGTGCAATTTCTTTCATATTTTTCAAACATAATTGTGTAGATTTTAATTTAATTGCTATAATATTTAAAAAGCTAGTTGGCTGAATTCCATCTCTATACGATTGTGACTGTGCAGGAACATACTATGAACAAATGAAGATAGAAAACATTTTTCACACTTTCTAGAGTAAGTGAAAAAATAGTTTCCCTGGATTCAGAGACACAGCAAAGATACTATAAGCCTTACTAAGCACACACAGAAGCAGCTCTTCAGTTGCTTACAGTGGTCTGCAAGATCTAAAATAGATCTTCATATCAAATGCTTCAAATTTGCTTCAAAGCAAATTCAGTGTCCCATAAAAGTAGTTCTAGCACAGCTTCTAAGAAAAAAAATTTAAAGCGTTCTTTGTACATGCATAAAAACATAACAAGGTAAATGCCAAGAAGCAACAGAATGGTACATTTACATCAAGCATAGCCATTCCTAAAGACCACTTGACCATGAGAAGAAACTAGAATAGCATTGTTTCTCCCCAGCATCATTAATGTAAAATGATACATCCTGAAAGATGTTTCCTAGGACTCAATACTATTTTTATAGTACTTCTAGGAATTTTTCACCCTATTACAAAACCATTCTTACTAAATTGGATTGCTCTAATTATATATGCTGAAGTTTTCCATCTCAAAGGTATTCAGGGCAGATTAGGTTATCAAACTTTGCTGTGTTCCCAGATAAAAGAAAAATCATGGCAAAACAGAAAAAAATAAAGGAAGATTTTACTCAATAATGCATATTACCTGTTAAAATATCTGACTTCACATTTCCGTATCAAGATTAACCTGATTCAATTTCTTTCCTTCTCTAAGTTGTTTTTTCAAAAGCCGTAAGCATTCCCAAAGGAACGACTGGAGACAGACCATATGAGGAAAACTGTATATATACAAACCACTCATGCTCTCAATCGCAAGCTTCAACAGTCCTTTGTTAGGAAACAGTCCTCATTCCATTTTCAGATTCTATTTTTTTCAGTTTCTCAAAACATGGAACTTTTATGCCCATATCTGTCTCAAATGCAGCAGAGAAAAGAATATTGTTCTCATGCAAACAAAACTGCACAGATTGCAGAAACCTGAGAGGTATCAATTCTCTCAAGTCAAAGCATCAAATTAAACATTAACTGTACACGCACATTTTTTTAACTTAACTAAAAAGACAAACTGTAGTGTATTAAAACTCATGGCAAATATGACAGTTTATTAAAACAGATATTTTCCTCTCAATGGTACATTTCTTTTGTCCTCGTGTATAGCTCCCATGTGATAGAAAACAGTGTTTCCATACAATACTCCTTAAAATGAAGCGTTCCTTGTTGTATGTAGTTTTCTCTAATTTCCTTTCAAGGGAAGTTGTAGCCTTAAGTCCTCTTAGTATGGTGGTGAGAGAGGAAAGGAACAGAAGAAAAACTAAACAAAAAACCCACTCCCCTCCCCCCTGCCCCAGCCTACCATACATGTCCAATGACAAAACCAGCTTTCAGACTGATCTATAATGGATTAGAATACACAGTAACAGCCTGTTTTTAAGGACAGAGTCAGCAAAGGGTTCCTAGGCATACATAGCCATTTGAAAGGTGCAGGTTACTTTTTCCGTACAGCCATCCCTCTCACTTCACTGGCCGTTATACAGAGATAGATGCCAAGATCACCCTTTTGCTATACTCTGGGTGCCTCCCAGAAACCAGGGTTATGATAATCTATGTCCTCTGCACAAGGCTGTCGTAACTCTCCCCGACCTCTCCTGTGGCTTCCATCTGCACAACACAGAGGCCAAGTACACAGTGAGCAGGAAGAATCTGGCCTTCAAAAATAAGGGGCTAGAGTGACATTTTAAATTTCATTTCTAGAAACACGGCTCTTCGCCTTTGACAGATATAGCGCGTTCCAACCTGGAAGGGAGGATTTTCCTTTCCTCATTAAAGATTCAAGAGCAGACCGAGCATTTCATTATTAAATCAGTATTAAAGACAGATATTAACTGGAAATGACATACTGTGTTATGCCCACATGCTCCTTTATCAAATTTAAACAGGTAATTACTTTACAGTAACAGCTTTAAAAGGACCGTTTCTCAGGGCTGCATAACAACACAGGATTCTCTACAACCTGAGCAATTAGAAAAAGTAAGAGTAAAAATACCCTAGGACAGAACCTAGTTAACCTCAATAGGTATGTCTTATCCAAAGTTAACACAGCTGTGGCACCACAGACTAGCCAAAACATTGGCTCTGTATACTTGTCTGTTTACAATATATCAATGTGTTTAAGAAGGCAGTATAAAACCTCAGTCAAAAAGGCTGTATATTATTCTGTGTTAGACAGACACAGTGCTCAAAAACTGTGTGTGCACACGTTTAAATGAGGAACAGGGAAAAAATTCTATTTCCCTATCCAAAAACATTACTTTCCAACCAATTTCTTGCTTTTTTTCAAAGCAGTACAGGAAGAAAATGAAATACAGTATTATTTTCTAGGAAGTACACTCCCTCAGTTGAAACACCACTATCATCATCTATTTTATTACCTCTTCCCAGCTGCTTATAATCACCTTTTCAGCAAATATGAATGTTTGCTGAAAAGGATGGAGGCAGAGCACAGATGTCAAAATTTCTACAGAAACATGCAGATACCTCTGTTCAATGCCACATTAATGCTTACATTAAACACTTTTCTCTTTCCTCTGCTATTGAAATTGTTTTCTAGATAATAACAAAAAAAAGCCTTTTTGATTTTCCCATTTTGTTTGTGCAGTTAATGTTGTCTAAAGGTACTACTGCATAACTGCATTGACGTATGAGAAAATTTGATATCTAAAACGTTATCCGTGTGACAAAAAAAAAAAGAGTATAGCCTATCTAAATGTAGCCTACAGCATTTGAAGTGTATTATGCAGCAGATATTCCCCTTCTGATATATAGCATAGAAAAGAATTCTCACTATATAAAGCAATGTTCTCTAGATCAGCTTTATGAATCCTTAAACAGTTAGCTGTGAATCTTGTTCTGTCACAAAGAGTTTTTACAAGACATTCTAATAAAGTACGGAAGGAAGTCTCACAAACTCTGTTGCATATTTGTCAGTATTACCATAGCTTGTATTTGAAAAACTTACATCTAGAATTACATTCTGCATGAAGCATCAAATACAAAGTTACCACCTTAGCATCTCAAGACAGACTGGTTAGTAACACACTCTATTGGAAATATCATAAAAACTTCCCTGTTCATTATTGCAGAAGAGTTATTATTGAAATGGCTTTATCTTATTACATTTATTAACTGCTGTCCTGTAAAGAAAAGCCATCAGCAAGGAGGAAGTACAGATTATGTACAGAATATTAATAATTTACAATCATTTAAATTCAGTTATTTCAAATCTAGGAAAAGAAAAAAGATACTTAGTGTATTTAATGATGCTATTATACGTTTTATTTACGTAATAAGAGGAAGTTATCCAGCAACCAGAACTATCTCTGCATTCTTAAAAACTTCTGTAGCTTTGCTAAAAGCCAAGAAAAAGTAACTTGGCATTTCTAACAGTAGCTAGTTTCATAATAAAAAAAGCCAACAAGATGAGCATTCTCAGGAATAATCTTCAAAAGGAATAACGTGTAATTACCTTAGAAGGTGAGCAGTAATACAGCAATATAGCAAAAGAGCAAATAGCAGTTCAAACCTCAAGGGCAAAAATCTTATGTATCTGTATCTGACCTAGCTGTCTAGACTTCTTTTATAACCAATGGTGAAGAAATCACACCGATTTATGGCACAGTCCTTCTGGCCTGTGTCAGGCATCTACCTCAAGATGATGATGAACCACGTGCTGAAAGGGGCTGTTTCTCCTCCCTAGTTACAAAGGGAGTATGACTCGCTCAGATATACATATCTGAAGTTAAGAAGGTAAAGCCCATCCCAATAGTCTAACATGGTGAAACATTGCCTGGTGGTAGTCATACTTTTACTGTAGCCTCTAATTAGATATTCCAGTACTTTAACAAGCGCTCTAGGACTAACTTGTAACATGCTGACATCAATGGGAAGACTCCCAGTTACATCCAGTGGGCCCTTTCTGAGCCATAGCACTGAATTATTCCAGATTTATAAGCTATCTGTAACAGATAATCAACATATCAGAAGACAGTTTCCATAACTGCTCACAAAATTTACTTTAAGAGAAACAAGATAGGCCTAGTTTTAAGTCATGTTACTGTATATCACGCTTGAGCTCCAGGAATTCAGTGAATCTACACTGTATGAAAAAAAGCGACGAGAGGAAAAGGAATATACAGGTTCCTTCTGTTCAGCTAAGGAAAATTCTGTCAAATGTGTTCAAAATGCATACTCTTTCAATCTGACAACCTTCCAAACAAGCTTAAGCGTAGAAGCAAGTTAAATGAGTGACATACTCCTGCACATATATAACCAAAAGCCTTAGCATGCTTCTCTCTAAAAAAATACATTTCTATTTTATAAATTTATAAATCTGTAACATTCTCTTTAGACATGGAGCTGCCCTTTCTGCATTGGGAACTTTTACAAATGTCAAAATCTTTTCAAATTCCTAATGGTATATTTCCAATACATTTTAAGATCCTTGGCCACCTTTTTTCAATGTTGATGCTGAAGTTCACTTTCTTGAGCCACACGCATCTATATCACTCAAGAGGGGAGACTCACTACTCTGCCAGACAATCTGATTTATTGCAGTTTCCACACCTCCATGCGAAGATGTTTAAAGGAGGCGAGTTTGAAATTAGAAAAGACATTGCTATAACTACTTGTTACTCAATATTATGGTAAATTTATTCTTCACTGCTCCCATACACATAATTTCGAATTAAAAAGAGCTACACCACAGACCTTGAACTAGGAGTTGTAGCTTTTGTTGGCACTTGGGAGACAACTGGAGATTCAAGGACTCTGCTACATAAGGGAAGTAAAACCCTGACCATGTGTTACACATATTAAAGACGTTCCTACCAAAAAAAGAAAAAAAAAGTTATTTAAATTCTATCTTTTGGTCTGCATCAACCTCCTATTGGAATAAATTCAACAATGAAAAGTCCTTTGGAGCCATTTTTAAAGAAAGTCCACAATTTCAAGACAAAACCAGAATATCATTATACCTAGTTCCAATTTTTAAATTTATATTTTTAAAAACTGAGTAAATAAAGCTGAGTCTGTAAAGAAAACTGAGATTGGCTCTCACACACAGACTTGGTTATGATCTTGCCTACCAGAATTCTCTACCACTGCAATTTTAAACAAGTTACTCCTTGAGCAAAACTGGAATGTGAGCCTATAAAAAACTCCATGTTCACATCACCACGCTCTACATTTCCACAAGCTGTCTCTACCAGCAGTACAGCTCAGCCATATCTGCAAGGCCCAGCATTGACAAACACAGGCTCATTTTCCCTGTACACTCACTGGCTTTAAACCAGCTGTATTAGTTCAGTAGCTTGCACACAGCTTATCGGCTCAAGCACAGCACTGTGTGAACACAGCTACACAGCTTCCCAGCCAGACATGGCTCTTGTCCAAGTAGCTTGGAGCACAGGCAAAGAGCGCGTGGATCTGTCTAAAGCACCCTTACCGTGGCAAATGGATGGAGCTACACATAAAGAAACAGATTGCATTTGCTCCATTTATAGAATGCGCTTGTTATCCAGAATACAAGATATACTGAGGTCATCATTAAAAAGGAGACGTTTGCCTGCCATTGCCACACAATAAGATACAACAGTTCTTCTTCTATGTACTGAAATCTGAGATTACTGAAAGGTATCACTGGCCAAATATATTGGTCAAAATTGCTTTTTAGAGTTCACTGCTGCATATTTGAATTCCAGTAGATATTAAGTTCATTGTTCTGTTTAGAAAATATAGCATTCACAGGCTCCAACTTAAACTGTGTATCTTGATCCATATTTTCTAGATACCACTCTAGATTACAAAAACCTGACCTTTTAAAACATCCATGTATTTTTGTTGACGAGTTGAACCTTCTTACTCCCGTGCTCTAATCAGACTGTCTCTGCTAAAATTCAGACATCATCAGGGGTCTGTTGTACGCTCCAACAGATCACAGTCTCAGTTACCAAAGGACCACTGTGGATCTCACCTACCTGCAGCTGAGGTTCAGTCTTCTACGCTAAACACTGGTGTTCAGCTCAGTAACACATCCCATCCAGTCCCACCTCCCGCTTGCTCCCTCACTAAGCCTTGCAAGGAATATTGCCCTTTTCCTCAGTGCATATGACTCTAGCCCATTCACCTGCTGTAAAAGAGCAGAAGTGGGAGCAAAGGTTTTACCCTCAGATTTTGCAAGTTACACTGATGATATGATTCTTTTGCCCTTAGCTGTGCTGGATGGACATACTACTGAAAGGTACAAAAAGGATTCTAAAAGCATAGCGTAGGAATTATTCAGGTGAATACATTACTATAACAAAATGTCAAAGGGAAAGAAAATTAAGTTGCAATAAACTGCAATTATGCGTGCAATTGTATATTGTACTAGCAGAACATCTGGTTTGACCAGATGCTGTTGCTTAAGTGTATTTTCCCCCACCCCCAAGTTCTGACCTACACTACTGTAATTTGAACTGCATGGTATTTTGACTATGCTACCACTACAATTTATGTCTGACATGTTAATGTCACATTCTTGAACCAAGCAAGACTTTGAGTTACACTGTACCACAATACACTATGCAAAACACCTCCTCTCCTCCAAAATCCGAAACAACTTTAAAAAAAAAATAAGATTAAAAGTCCACATGCTGACTTACTTTTGCATTGAGAGGGCACACAGACAGTGCACTTCTAAAAAGCTGTTCTTCTGACCTCCACTGACTGCTGCGGAGAGCACTGCGCATGACATTCATCAATAAGATTCCAAGTACTACAGCAGCAAGAATTTTCTTAAGAAAAAAGAGGGAGAAATTAAGGATCAAACCAAAAATCTAACAGCATAGTAACTATTACACTGAAGCACTTCATCAGCTGTACTGACTGTTCTAATGGTACCTTTTGCTTGGCCTTCCTACTCAAGAGACTAAATCCATATGTAAACAGAATACAATATCCAATGCTGGGGAGGTAGATGACTCTCTCTGCAACAACAAATCCTACTCGGAAGAACAGGTTACTTGCAGGAAGAAAAGGGATAATAAGAAATCCAAGTCCCAGTGTAAGAATTCTGCAAACAAGAAGCAGATTCTCAAATTAACCATAAATCTCACCAAAAGTACCTTTTCCACTTACATATAAGCTTTATTTAGAAATTGTAAAAAGCTATGCATACAGAACACGGCATTCCAAATTATCTTCTGGGATCTACATACAAAAAAATCAGATTAAGTTTCAACAAGTTTCAATGAGCTTTTGACACTTCAGTCCCACAGGCACCTTTGAAATTCTAGCTAAAATTCCCAGACAAGTAACCTTCATGCTTCCCTACCAGAACATAGCCCCGTTAATCATTAATGATACAATACCCATTTAAAATATACAGACAAGAAAAATAATGGTAAAGTTACCTATCCAGTTTTAAAACTAGCAAGACAGTAACCCCGGGGAAAAAATATACATCACTGTTAAGAGGAAACTCAGGTACACTTCCTACTGAGAGAGTGTCTTCCTTCCTAACAAAGACATCAAACAATACAGTAGAATCTATTGTGCTTAACCGCCTGAAAGCCATCTAGGCTCTTTCTACAGCCAGTGGAGACAGACACTTCTTGAGGGCAGTTTGTCCTACTTATTCTAGGTATCTGTGTTAGGATCAGTAACCCTTGATAGGTATGTCTCTATGTACTATACCAAGCCTAGACTGAGACTAGATAACTAACTTTTAGATAGCCAGCCTTAGGAAATCTGAACCCCATGTCTCTGTTAGGTATTGCTATAGAATACAATGGCAGTTTTCTACTCTAATTTATTTCAAATCAATCTCTCTACTGTAAACTGTAACATAGATTACATGATAACTGTACATGAACTGTAACATAGATTACATAGATTCCTATTTCTCTTCCCCCCTCCCCAAGTGTCCTAGGCCTTCACTTGACCTTCCCTGTTAACTTGCGAGGATAAAACTGCTCAGCAATATTGGTAGAGAATGTGTTTGTACTAGAAAGAATCAGATCACTTTTAAGAATTCCATCCCTCTCCAAAAAGATGTTACCTGTGCAAACGAGTATGAAAAGAGAGGAAAGGAAGGCAGATAGGATGTTAGTATTTAACTAATGGCCAGCATTTCTACCTTTTTTCAAGATTTCTCTCCTCCCTCTTTCATTAGTACAAGAGAATAATAAAGGAGATGACAACATGTAAGAAGGGGTTACAACACACATTAATTTATGGTCAGAACAGAGTGTAATCACTTTTTACCACCTACAGTGTTAAGGATCTCAAAATGCTATTTCAGAAGAAAAATAAAGCAGCCATCCATACCTCCCCTCCAAGTGTGCTTCCCACTAGACAGTGTACAGTGATGAGCCCAAATTGGGATAAAACTGTAATGACAGCTATAAATATTTATTTGAATTACATTTGCGACATACTGGTTCCACTGAATTGGTAAGATTATCAATACTGGGTTTAACAAAATAATACTGTACTCAAGTTGGCTAGGCATTTAAAATTCATCACTGTCTCTTACCTTCTCTTATGGCTGTCTTCTGAGCACAGAGCTTGGCATATCAGGCCAATTAGGCAGAACCAAAGTGCTGCTAGTGCAATTATCCTCCAGTCGCTGACGGATTTAATGAGGGGTATGCAGCCCATTGACCAATCAAAGCACAGCCACCAGGGACACAACAGCAACCATGCATTCAACGAATAGTAGTAATTATAGTTTATAGCCTGTCAGTCAAAAAGAAAACAAACATCTATTTGACACTAAACTTAAGGGGGGGAACCAACTTTAGTTTTTCTCATTGTTACCATTCCCCTTATCACCAAATACATCTTATAGAATAAAAAGGAACCTTAAATACTGTTAAATTACAGCTAGTTATATATCCATTAGTTTTACAGCTGTGGAATTTAATGATCTTTATTTTATTTTATTTTTTTACATAGTTAAGTGCCTCTCTTATTCAGAGCAAGGACACAATTATGATGTCCAACCAATACTCACATGTAAAAAGAACCATCTCACACAATAGGAGGAAATGTCAAAAGACAACACCTACTATCTTCACCCCTCATTCTCCATCTCCAGAAATAGTCTTAATGCAGCTAGAGGTACAAAGTCAAAACACACTCCAAATGCACCAAAGCAGAAATTGATGCTACTTCCCTCAATTGTGAGAGAACAGATGAGGAGTCAAACACAGTACATGGAAAAGGGGTGAAAACGAGCAAGATCTAAATCTCATACATGGGAAAAGGAGGGAGTAAAAGGAAACATACTTCAGTGTGTGCAGTGCATGTTAAACTGAACGCAAAGAATATATAAGGTATACTTTAAAAAAAAAAATTGCAGAAAATCATCTCAACTACACAAAAGAAGGTGACTCGTCGCATATCTCAAAAAGTGAAGACTGCCTGCTTTAATGTTTTTTTGCAGCTCTGAGAAGAAAACTCAATTTGATGACAAATGTTTTGAATTGTCCAGAAATCAGCAACTTCATGACTTACTCTCACAAACAGACTATCTGCAAATGAAGCCGGGTTGTCTACTTCAGTAAAAGCAGGTGGCCCTGTGCCCATAATCCTCCAGCGTATATAAAGTATACTGGCCCCTCCAGACAACAGAAGAGTAATCCTGAAAAGTAGCCCCTTTCTTAACAGCCCAGAATTCTAGAGGAAAGAAAGAAAAAAAAATATAAAAATGAACATTTTTGTTCTCCTTCAATCTACATTCACCTTGTTTTCCTCATCATTTCACTCAGTGAGAAAGAGGTTATTCTCACGCGCTTTTGTTATTGGACTTGACATTTTCCTTATTTTTGCAATTACTGGGTTAAATTCTCTGTTACCTGGCTCTGAAGGAAGTATTTTGCCTTCTTGCTTTACGGTGATACAGTTTATCACTATCACAGAACAGGAAAGGTACTGTGCCTTACCAAGTGTATGTAAGCACCAGCTATAGTACGGCAAGCCAATAGCAACTAAAAAAAAGGCAGGCAAGGAATTCCCTCTGAAGCTTTTCTATGCTACTTTCATTGACTAATTTAAAAATACTTTTTGCAAACTATTTCATTTCCTTATTGATCAGGATCTCCAAGAAGTCTCTCTTCTACAAATCCTCAGCAACTCTATAATCGATGCTACTTTACAAACCAATTTCTGATAGGGAATTTGAACAGAATACAGCTATTGGTACTCAGCACATTGGATGGATCTATCCTTTCTTTTTAAGAGAGGACATATGATTCGTGAACTTTGCTTTAAATAGCTATATCTAGTTGACCTTTCCTGATGGAAAGAGTTTTCTCCACTTAGGACTATTTAGAGATGAAATTACATGACTACATACAAACAAGCTGTTGTTTCAGTTCTAGAAATTATACTTTCGATGATTTCTTTCCATAAGCACCTAAAGAATATTCTCACTTCACTCTGTAGAGGAATTTAAGAGCCCCATAGGACTGTGCTGTTCAAAAGCGTGAGCAAACTTCTCTGCAATGAAACCACTGGCCCATGCAAAGTCCAATGAACACTATTCTGCCTTGCCGAACCCTGCACGGGAGAGCCAAATGATTTAGTGCACATTTGCTGTTCAATAAAAGTGATGTTCTAGTAGGCTGTTGGACTATCCGGTTGCTACCAAATATTTTTGAGGCTGATTACTTCTGCAATTTGCTTACCAATGCGGATGCTAGCTGACCGATTCCACTGGAGCTGATACCAGATAAAGTGATATCAACAAAAGTCAAAAGTTCACTCTTTAGCGATTCAGCACTTAAATGGTTTTTCTTTCAAGCTCTTACTAGGTACTCTCTCCTATCTGGTAATGTGTATTCCGAAGAAAAGAGTATAATACTTTAGTGGGATTCAGTATGTAGATATAATAGTATTTTTATGTATTTTTTCAAATGTCTATTTAAATATCTCATTTTTAAATCTGAAAGAATAGTGCACGCTCTACTCTGATCAAAGAAACGACGTTAGACATCCATTTGAGGTGTCTAGCCACTGATCCTGTAGAATTTGTTACCTCAAGCACTCAGTTTTTCCGAGTATATAGACACCATATTTTTAAGATAGCGCTGGGAGAAGACCTGTGTAATGGATTTCTGTATCCAATGCACTTCAGATGCTCTCCCATTGCCACTCGTATTGCGGCAGAGATGTCACAGCACGTTGCCTTTTTTAGCTGACTGAGAATTAAAGAAAAATAACAAGTATTTTCAAAAACAACAACAAAAATGTCAGAAGTCGCATCCTTGTCTTTTGGTACATGATTGTCTGAGTAATGAGAATGAGCAAACTCTCAGAACACTCACCTCCAATAACTTGTCCTTACGCAGTAACTTTTGAACAAACTCTAAAATGTTTAGCTTGTTAATCACCAGTGCATCAAATACCGCATTCAAACCCTAAGCAATCAAGAGAAAAATAAGAGCATAAATAGGGCAGTTAAACTCAAATATATATATTTTAAAATGTACCTTAAACTCCACTTCTACAACCAGTTATCATATATCTTAATTTTGATTCCAAAAAGTAGATACATACTTTGGTAATAACGAGGGCAGAATTACTGCTAGGTGCTAAATGCTCTGCCTGGGCTCAGAGAAGAGCATCCATGTTAATGTAATGAGGATTCTCTTGCTATATGCAATAACACTTCAGGGAATACCCTGTATCAGCCAGTTAGACACTACATGTATGGTCACAATGGTATTAACCCACTTATCTGCTTCCTGCCTTCTTTCCCAAATATTCTGTAGTGTAAAAGCTACAGTCAAAAGATGAGGCTTCTGTCAACAATATTCTGTTAATAATTTTGTCTTTTAAGTCTTCTACTTATTTTTTGCTGTGCAGAAGCGTATAATTTGACTGTCACATTTCAAAAATACCATTTTAAGGGGTACATAAATTGTCACAACAAAAGCCCAGACAGGTTTACAGAGGTATCAGCCCTGCTTTTCTTGGAATTACACCAATATACACAGTAGAAGATACTGGGGGGGAGTGGGTGGGGAGGGAAAAACTGAAGTTCAACGTTTCATCAGCCACTACACATAAAACTAGAAGCTATCCAGCGCTTAGCAGTAGTACACTTCCACACATTCCCCTGAGTCAAACAAAATACATCCAGGAGTAATTCTGTTAAGGTTAAATGAGCTACATCAGTAAAATAAATAGTTAACATTTCCTTGTTCAGTTTCAGTAATCCTCACAGAATCACAGAATGGTTGAGGTTGGAAGGGACCTCTGGAGATCATCCAGGCCAACCCTCCCGCTCAAACACGATCGCCTAGAACACATTGCCCACGACCCCGTCCAGATGGCTTTTGAATATCTCCAAGGACGGAGACTCCACAACCTCTCCGGGCAACCTGGGCCACTGCTCAGTCACCCTCACAGGCAACAAGTTTTTCCTCACGTTCAGACAGAACCTCCTGTGTTTCCGTTGGTGCCCGCGGCCTCTCGTCCTGTCGCTGGGCACCGTGGAGAAGAGGCTGGCCCCATCCTCTTGACACCCTCCCTTCAGACACTTAGACACACTGATCAGATCCCCCCCTCAGTCTTCTCTTCTCCAGGCTGAGCAGGCCCAGCTCCCTCAGCCTTTCCTCATAGGAGAGATGCTCCAGCGCCTTCATCATCTAAGTAGCCCTTCACTGGAATCGTTCCTGGAGCTCCGTGTCTCTCTCGTATTGGGGAGCAAAGGACTAGACACAGTACTCCACGTACAGCCTCATCAGGGCTGAGGAGAGGGGGAGGATCACCTTCCCTCCACCTGCTGGCAACACTCTGCCTAATGCAACGCGGGAGACCGCTGGCCTTCTCGGCCACTAGGGCACACTGCTGGCTCACGGTCAACTTGTTGTCCACCAGGACTCCCAGGGCCTTCTCCACAGAGCTGCTCTCCAGCAGGTCAGCCCCCAGCCTGTACTGGGGCATGGGGTTATTCCTCCCTAGGTGCAGGACCCTGCACTTGCACTGCGGGACACTGCTAACTACAGGCCTCCAACTAGACTCTGTGCCATTGATCACAATGCCTTTCAATCAACTCTGCCTTTCAGCCAGTTTTCACTCCATCTCATTGTCTGCTCATGTTGTCCATAAATCATCAGCCTTGATGAGAGCCCAGGGATATCTTAATACCTTTGGAAGTTACCTCAGTGTCCTAAAGACTAAATAGGATAAAAAACAGTAAAAACAATTTCAGGAGAGGCAAAGAGTGTTGAGACCCTAGGAGGCCATAAATCTTTTTCTAATAATCAAAGGGAGAAGAGAAGATAGGTTAGAAAGCAGAGTGGTTCCACGTAGAGAGGCCAGCTGGCAGTTACAAGGCTTTTGGCTCACTCAAATGGAGGCAGGAAGGCAAGAATCCTGCTGGAAAACACATTCAGCCTACAAATGATCTTTTCTTATATGTGATTTATCCCTCTGACCCTTGTCCCTCAGCACAAGAATAAATATAATCATCCTAGCAATGCAACAGGAAACAAACAAACAAAAAAAAACCCCAAAAACCCAAATCAAAAAATAGTTCTGTGTCTGCTAGCTCAGATAGTTACTTCATGCCACTAAAAGAAATAACCACACCCTGCTCTAGGAGAACTTGTTTGTCTCACAGATACCTTTGAAAAACATATCAGCCTGCTACCTATTAAAAATAACGTCCTAAAACAAGATATTTCCTGTAATTTCTTCTTCCTTTCTTTTCTAACAAGGATAAGAGGATCTTTGCTGCAAATAATTCCTGTGTTTCTGTTTCTTGATCCTTGTAAATTAAAGCTATATATAAGATTTATTTATAAAGATAAACGTCTATATTAAAACTATAAATCACCAATGTAGCATCTCAGGTGGTTGACAGAGAGCATAATGTCTTTACTGAAGTAATAAAAAGCAAGAGTGCAATGAACATGAGAAGTAAATATATGTGTTTGCATACATAAAATATGGCAGAATAGACTTACATAAGGGTCAGAAGGACGCTAATCTGCACGAGAAATAAATAAGTGGATCTATGCTGTTCACAAAAGCAAGAGGGTGGAGCTTTTAAAAATGCTCTCCTCCGGCTATGTCTTTGTTCAAAGCCTTTAAAGAGAGCTTGGCAGGCCCACTATCTCAACAGGCCTAAGATGACAATTATACATTCAAAAACAAGGTTAACCAACATGGTGCACAGTGAAATTAACACTGTAAAGCCTTTAAATTTTGCAAGAAATGAATAGGTACATGCAACCTGCTCACAAAAGATAAAATGAAGAATTCCAACAGATAGCCTGGATATAAGACAGCTCTTCTAGAATATTACTTTTTGTTAACATTAATTAGTTTTCTGAACAGAACAAAAAGGTTTGTATGCAGCTAGTTGTGGAGAAAACTCATCTTTGTAGGCTTTACAATCGCACACAACAGATTCTATGGTCAAAATTCAGTCAATAAGAGGATTCTTACCAGTATTGTAATTCCTTGTTCTTTGCACAGCATGGCTATTGCACCTAGGAGAACACTCACCAGAACCCAGAATAAAGAAAAGTGGTGACCTTCCTTATCTGCCAACATAAAAGCATGCCATAATATTAGGTTTATGCATTTAAAGATAAAACTAGACACTTCACTAAAAGAATATAGCATTTAATCTCACAATGTTTTCTACCAGTCACTTCATTTAATCTCACAATGTTTTCTACCAGTCAACATCTGGATACACAGACTGAAAAGTACAGACTGCCTCCTGCAATATGCTGGCATTTGTTCCTTTATTGTAGTGATTTTCTATTCTCAGAGATGTTAAAAATCTCTCTGTTTGCTAGATGTTTTAGCTAGACTAATTAGATTGGCAGAAGCTTCACATAGCTTCCACAACTCATCATCTATAAAGGTTGATTCCCAATCTTTACACGTATTCATCATCCGTAGTAGCTACACCTCTGTCACTACTGGCTACTCTCTTACAAGTTACTGCAAGAACAAAAAATTCTTTCTAATGATTGTACACAAACAGTTTTAACTGTAGCTTAATTTGCAAAGGCACAACGAACTGCTTCTTAGGGCTGCTGCATTTAGGTAGTACCTCATGCCATTTCATTAGTACTGCAATGGAATGTCAAGGAGCTCAATGATTTCAGCATCTGAGCAGGGAAGCAGTTAATTCTTGTACTCAGGAAGCACGGTTTTGCAGCAGGGTGAGAAACTCCGGGGTTAAGAGATCAAGAGTAACTAGAGATTCTAGTTGAAGAAAGAATCTTCAAAGACTGCACTATGTAGCTAATTTTGGGTGCTACAAGCAGGCATTTCTGAGATTGGTATGACAATAAGCCCTACTTCAGCCAAGACACTATCACACACAGTACATAGGTACTTCACATAAACACATATCTGTCACAACCTCTACTCCACAGGCGCAAGCCAAAGAGGGAAGCACTCAGCTCATTCAGGAGGAGTTTCATGATTCAAGCAACGTTCTTGACATGGGTTCTACAGGCATCACAACAACTGATCTTTCACTTGGCACGAGAAAAACCACAAACTGACCTCTATTCATTGACTGAACCATTTCTTGCTTTCCTCAAGAGCTGTTCTTTCCTAATGCTAATGGAAGTTTGACCATCAATACTTGAATGAAACTGCAATTCTAGTCTATGAAACGGGTAAACTGTAGAAGTAAGCATCTACACCTGAGCTAGCATCCTTTTTAACTGAGATAAGGAGATGAAAACACTTTTAGGGATTCAGTTACCTAATTAAATGTAGAGGTATACATTTCATAGATGTGTCTAGTTCTCTTCACTGATTATAAAAGGAAACTAGTCTACTAGTTAATGCCTACTTTGGGTCAGATACACGCTATCACAAGCGTGAACAGGAACTGCTGAGACTGGCCTCCTATCTCATATTGTAGCAGAACGCTCCTTTGGTGGCAGAGAACAGAATTTTGCATAAAAATAGGTGCAACAAGAGGTTGTGAACTTGCTGTTAGCACCTCTCTCCTAACTAAGGCTTGAAGCTTCAATAGAGTGAAAATTCAGATGTTAGAGATTCATCACTGCAACAAAATCTAGTGTTTAGTTTGTTCCTTCTCTCTCCACCCCCTCAACCCCAACTTATGTCCTCATAGGTGAGGTAAGACCTAACATGAGAGTTGCAGATGCTATAAAATGAAAAGAAAGCCTTCTGAAAGAAAGAAATCATACACATCAATAATAACAAAACATTAAAATACAAAATATAATGGCTAAATGAAAGAAAAACAGTAACTGAAAAATGCAATGATGAAACTCCAACTCATGTCAACTATTCAGAGGAACTGAGGGTTTTCAGGGTTGCATGCATGAATCACAGAATAAGAAGTTTCAACACCTGTACTATGAGCTTTGCTAAGAATAAAAGGGATCTATCCCAAAGATACCCTTTGAAGGAGATCTTCAGCTGTTCAGACTCTGCTTGCAGTACTACAGACTGTCCAGCAAGTTCTTGAAATTACATTTATTTTTAATGTAAAAGGTGAAAAAAGTAACCAGAGAAACACTTTCTATGTTTTACAAAGGAAAAAAACTAGCTGAGAGAATGTGAATCTCTCACATTTGGACGGAAGGCAAAATAATTGACAGTGATCACAAAATGGCAATCAGTCATCCTTAGAGAGGGTAAAAGGGAGACCAGTGAACAAAGCCAATGGATCACACTGACTTTATTGAAGTTTGCTTTCTTTAAATGAGAGACAACTTCCCAGAATCAAATTCTAGGGGGAAAGAAGGCAGGACATTTGAGCTCCCCTCAAAAAAGCACTATTTGGTGCACACAGATGAACTATCTGGATGTGATGGAAGGCAGAGAGTGCAGTAAGAGACCAAAATGGGTGATTAACAAATGCTTTGATGACTTGAAACCTAGGAAGTAACGGCAAAAAAGAAACTAGGTCAAATTATCAAGGACAAGTATAAAAACACCATACATATATAGAAACAAATTCAGAAAGGTCATCTCATGAAATAAGAAACAGTCAGTGATGTATTCAAGAACAAGAAAAACCCAATTTCATAGACGACTTAGTAAAAAGAACAGCAGCAAGGAAGGAGGTATTCTAGCACTCAGTGAGAAAGAAAATGAACAATGCCAAGAAAATAGAAGTGTTTTGTGCCTTTTTGCTTCAATTTTCACAAAGAGGTCAGTTGTGATCAGATGGCTAAGACACCACCAGCAGGAAGGGAGCAAGAACAAAAGCAAAATAGTGAACTACACACACAGAATTTATAGAGAAGTTAAACTGTTTTAAATTACAACAGTTGATTAAATTTCCTTCAGTGGGTTCTATACACCCCAGAGTAACCTCAGGTGTAATCTTAAGAAATCACGGATCTTGTATCTTGGAATCTGAGATCCTGGAATCTTAGATTCCAGAAGCTTGGACTATATCAAAAGCAATGCCTACTTGTAAAGGGGAAAAAAAATAGGAAAGGAAGAGCTAAGGACCTGGTGGACAACAAGTTGACCGTGAGCCAGCAGTGTGCCCTAGTGGCCAAGAAGGCCAGCGGTCTCCCGCGTTGCATTAGGCAGAGTGTTGCCAGCAGGTGGAGGGAAGGTGATCCTCCCCCTCTCCTCAGCCCTGATGAGGCTGTACGTGGAGTACTGTGTCTAGTCCTTTGCTCCCCAATATGAGAGAGACACGGAGCTCCAGGAACGATTCCAGTGAAGGGCTACTTAGATGATGAAGGCGCTGGAGCATCTCTCCTATGAGGAAAGGCTGAGGGAGCTGGGCCTGCTCAGCCTGGAGAAGAGAAGACTGAGGGGGGGATCTGATCAGTGTGTCTAAGTGTCTGAAGGGAGGGTGTCAAGAGGATGGGGCCAGCCTCTTCTCCACGGTGCCCAGCGACAGGACGAGAGGCCGCGGGCACCAACGGAAACACAGGAGGTTCTGTCTGAACGTGAGGAAAAACTTGTTGCCTGTGAGGGTGACTGAGCAGTGGCCCAGGTTGCCCGGAGAGGTTGTGGAGTCTCCGTCCTTGGAGATATTCAAAAGCCATCTGGACGGGGTCGTGGGCAATGTGTTCTAGGCGATCGTGTTTGAGCGGGAGGGTTGGCCTGGATGATCTCCAGAGGTCCCTTCCAACCTCAACCATTCTGTGATTCTGTGAAACTACCTAGAAAAACACTTAGACAAAATGTTTTCCAGGTGACTCTCTAGAAGATAAAAGAAAATGATTAATTGCTTGCCAAAGACTTATTTTAGCCATTTACATCAAACCATGCATAAAGGGTCTTCTGGGTAGAGGCAAACCTATAAACATCATATACTTTGACTTTAGGAAGGCATGAGAACGTCACTGGAGATGGTGTGAGATAAGCTAGAAGAATAGGCACTGGATGAAATTATTATTGAATGGATATGAGTATCAATTGGAACACTACAGTAGGAAGTCTTGTTCACTTTGAAAAATGGAAAGATACATTCCGGACATCTAGCTCTATCAGATATTTTAAAGAACAGGGATGATGGAATAAGGTATATGCTGATTAATTTTGAAAGTGCTGCCAGGCTATCATGGCCAGAAAACATACAACAGGACCAGAATTCCATTGACAAAATGGAGAAATGGTCTAGGGAAAAAAAAACTGGTAATAGAATGCCATTCAATAGGTATAAATTCAAAGCTGTACAGAAACATTTACGTCTTCTTGTGATCAGCCCAAGTTTCATACACCAGGACTCCCTCAGCATGTCAGCTGTAGTCAAGCTTAGGTATGAGCTCTCAAAGATGGTAAAAACATCCAGCAGGAAAAGACAAATATCAAAATTTCCCCTCCAAAACCAAAACCACCGTCTCTTTATTTCCTGTTGTAATCTCAAAAGGTCAATACCATCTTATGGTATGGACTGTAATATTATCAAATTTCATCAGTTGTGATTAAATTTCAAGGACAGAAAATTTCAATTAAGAAACACATTATCTTGTACTTGTTCCTGGGTCAATTTGCAAAAATACCCCTCTATTCACACTACAGAAGACTCAGGACTAGGCTGGAAAAATTAATACAGAAGAATGGCATTCAGCAATGCTATCTATCAATCAATTTTTAACAGTACTTTGAAAATGTAACTCACTGCATAAGCGCTAATTATTTTAGGATACACACATGCCAACAGAAGTAATCAGTCTAACGAAGCACATTCCTCTAACACTGTGCTGCTTTCCACCAGAAAGATCTTCTGTCAGAGAATGAAACTAATCTTTGGTTGGCACCTGTGCTTAGTTGAAACTGGTACACCATATTGTGAGTGGGCACTGTGCCACCTTAACAGATGGACAAGGCTGTAAGCTTGCCAAAGAAAAAGAGTATTCATCACTTTCTTTTTTTTTTTAAGCTAAAAAATATAGTGCTTCTATGCTAACATAAAAAGGGTGCTCAGATGGCTCCTACTTAGTAGTATATTAAGTCTGAAAGTTGAGGGGATTCAATGAAATATGTGTGTGAGCCATTAAGAAGCTATGATAGAGGGCTCCTCCATTTTGACTGTTGGACTTAAATAACAACATCCCGCGCAATACTGGATACACAAAGTGCTCTAGTATGGAATTGATTGCTGGTCATAAGTTTAGAGTCACACTATGACGATACACTCCACTTCTGCCTTCCTAAATGCTAATATTATTTCTTCTGAAAGACCTTATTTTGCAGTATCCTAAATTCACAATTTAATAGATTCATCAGAAGTTCAGGGTAGGAAGAAAGGCACTACATGTTTAGAGTACTATGCTTACTTTAAAGTCAAACTAATAACAGCAAAAAACCAAAAACAAACAAACAAACAAACCACAAACAGTAATTACCAGTTCTGACATTTAGGCATTCAGCATTTCCTCCCTCAAAGCCAATCCATTCTGGCATCCCATTATGGACCAATGGACCAGCTGAACAACTTAGGGCTTTGGCAGGTGACAGCTTGGAGCAGTTTAAGTCATCACCATCTTCAGGTGAAACACAATAACTGGTAGTGTGAAAGCACCTACTCCTTTGAAAGGCAAAGCAAAGTAAGTTACATCGAACTCCTGCAGAGAAGCTTTATTTTTCACAAACATTCATATACTCCACTGATATGTCTTGCCTGCAGGGTTGGTATCTTTCAACTAAACTACCACCAATTCTCATCTGACCTAGCTCTAAGATCTCCCTGCTTGTGCATTGCTAAGCAGAGAGGGAAGAATTACCTGCTCTTAAAGATGACATAAGAATCCAGGTAGAGTTTACTTAAGCCTGGGATCCCCTTGTGGGTCTCCAACTCTCTAAATGCATATACCGTTACTGTTCAACTAAGCAATTAACTTAACATTAAAACTACAATAGCAAATGCCATCCCTAAACATTTCCAAACACCTCAAACTCATATACATAGGCTACCACAGAAGGATTATCTATCTCCGAATTACACCATGTTGGAGGAGCAAAATTTAGCATTAATTCTACAATGCTTCTTAAAACGATAATCAGATTTTTGCACATAAAAGTCCTCCCACCCAATGTGCGGAATCATGAACAGTAGGGCATACGGCTGAAAATCAGGGCCCACATGGTTTAACAATAACAAATATCCCTCAATCAATTGCAAAATAGCTAACCAGTTCCCTGTATCTTAACAGGGATCTCTTTCACAAAGGCGACTTTAGCATTTCCAAATTAAAGAAAAATCTCCATAATATATCCACAAAAACTTGCTGCCACAGGCAACTTTGCATGTTTTACTATATTAGCAGTGAATCACCAGATGATTAACCAGAGACTACACAGAACAGAACAAAACAGAAACACACAACCAGAATGAAGTCGCTTTTAGGAATCATGGCATATAAGCAAGCAGTTGATCCCCTATTTAATATCTAGGCCAAATATTTTTCACATGAAACGAATTTCATGAACTCACTATTTTACATCACTCAGAGATAACCAATGCAGATGGCAAACTCACGCAACTGAATCACTGTCACAGCTGAAGACAAAGAAGAGAAAATGAACACTGCAGATTTAAAACTTCTTGTTAATTCCCAGAGATGCTGTATTAAAATTCAATAAAGTAATAACCCGCAGTTCCCTTCAGAACGTACCTAAACTGTTGTCAGTTCTCGCTGTCGCCAAAGCCCATGCAGTGGATTTGTCCCCACAGATGTGTTTTAAAACAGCAGGACAGAATGAGAACAACAGATTAGTTCCTTGCAAATATAACTGTTATCCTATGAAAGAGTTCTGGTAACATCAAAATCCACATATTGAAGAAAATGTAACAGAATTTTAGAACTAGAATAAGTCATAATTATAGCCCATATACTGTGTTAAATGTTGATACTTTTTAAAAAAAAGTAATGCTACAGATTCCAGCTAAAACAGACTGTCTACCCAAAAATTCATCAAAGCCACAAATAAAACACATCAGACCAGCAAGCTGCTGTACACACCGAACTTTACAAAAAACATTATTTTCCTTTGGAAGTTTTCCAGCCTGACAACTTCTACTTTTCTTATCTCCTGATTATTTTCAGTATTGTGCATACTTCCCCATGGTACCTCCAAATTCTCCTCAGACATTTTATGAGTTCTCACCCTCAAACTGGAAAAAAAAATATCTTGCGTTCATTCACTGAGATAGCAGGTGAAAACAAACACTAACCACTGTCTCTTATGAGACTTCTGTCTCCATTAGAGAAGAGGAATGATTCCACAACTACATCTACGCTAGTGAAACACAAATAGATTTTTGGAACTCAGCTGTGAACAAATCTCAAACTACCTCACACACACACAAGTCAGGTTCTTCTAAGACAGACAACCTATCTGTCTCATATCAATGCTGGGATGCTGCAAGAGACAGAAAAGTATATGTGACAGGACACAACCACATTAGTAGCATTAATTTCAGGCTTCTTAACGTTTTATTCTGAAGCTCAAAGCTCATATTAAATACAAACTAGCATCAAACACATTTTGGTACTTGTATTCAAAAGACAATACAAGAGCAGTCCATAAATTGTGAGGGCATTAGTGTTGTATTGCCATTTAGGTACAACAAAAGAGGCTCACCACCATGCATCATTTAAGAATAACTAAAAAAAACATTCCACCTTTGGTAGTTGTTCTCTCCCTGCTAGTCTTGTAAAAGACCAGCTAACGAGTATGTGGTAACCACATGTGACAGCCAAATCCAGAAACATGGGCTCATGCAGTTGCCCTAGGTTTTAGGGTCAGGCTTGGCTTTAATACATAAAAATCTAGCAGGACAAAAAGAAATAGGATACTGGAACAAAGTGGCAGAAAATACTCTTCTGTGGAATCATCATAAAGAAGCTGTATACGGCTAGAAACATAAGCCTGCCAAAATGGAACGCACAGTGGGTTTTTTGGTTGTTTTTTTCCCTTCCCTCTTAATTACAAAAACTACTCCACGAAGTGATGCAATGCCAACTGTTAACTTGGACTAGAACTGTCAATGTACACTGGCTGTGTATTACAGGGTTTCAGGATCTCATAGATAACCATGACTTTGCCAGCAGAAGAAAATAATTTTTAATTCTGAGAGAGGAAAGGATATCTTTTTCTTGGTAACATCTTAGGAGACGTTGTTTAAGTCTGTTCTTAAAATTACACGTCCACATTCTAAAAACGCCTGCTCTTTATCAACATTCAGAGTCAGATCAGCTTAGGTTAGTGACTAAGGTGGTTTTTACTGTCTTTAACTCTCACAGTCCATGTAGAATTGAAGTCAGTTAAACTCAGATAAAAAGATTTTTATTCCTTATTTATCCTACTATTTTTTATGGCTACAAGAAGGGAAATTTAGACCACCAAAACGGAAGCATCCAACAACAGAACTTCGCATTTGCTTCAACCTGACCAAACCACTGAAAAGTCATACTCTCCTACAGCTCTCTCTCCATATCTAGCTACTTGTTCCTAAAGCCTTTCCTACACAGACACTAGAGTTCAATCAGTTACCTTGTGAATTGGACCAACTCCTCTCCTGCTGGGGGGCGGGGGGAAGAGAAAAGAGATCGGGGGAGTGGAACAAAAACTGGTGGTGGGAAGGGGTACAGCTGAAGGATACATGGTTACACCGGAGAACAGCTCTGCTATTGGAGGGACCTTAACGAGCTGGGGGAATGGGCTGACAAAACCTTATGAAACTCAGAAAGCACCATGCAGCAGTCCAGGCTGGGGACTGCCTAGGTAGCAGCTCCTGCAGAAAAGGACCTGGAGTTCTTAGTGTGCAACAAATTCAATATGAGCTAGCAGGGCGCCTTTTGCAGCAATGAAGGAGATTAAATGTTTGCTGGGCCGTACTAGCTACAGCATACCCTGCAGATCAGGAGAAATGGTTGTTCCTCCCCACTCAGCACTCGTGAGGCCCCATCAGCAGTACTGTGTCCAGTGTTATGTCCAATAAAAAGAGAGATCAATACCGTGGAAAGTCCAGAGAAGAGCCACTGAGATGGCTAGGAGGCTGAAGCACACAACATATGAGCAGAAGCAGAGGAACCTGGGCTTTTATTTTTTTGCTTGGAGAAAAGGCAGCTGAGGGGGACCCAACTGCAGTCTTACTAATTAAAGGGGCATTGTAGGGATGACAAAGACAGACTTCTCAGAGGTGCCCAGAGAAAGGACAGGAAGCAGCAATCACAAGGTCCAGCAAAGGAAGCTCCAACTGGATATAAAGAAGAAAGAATTCTTTCCAGGAGGGCAGTTAAGTACCAAACAGGTTGCCTAGTGAGGCTGTGGAATGGCCATCCTTGCACATTTACAACTCCTCTGGCTAAGGTCTGGAGCAACCTGCTATGCAGTTAGCCCTGCTTTGAATGGCTGGATTAGAGTTGGCCTTCAGAGGTTCCTTCCAAATGAAATTATTTTATGATCTATGATAAAATAAGGCTAGATTGCTTCATTTTAGCAGCTACCTGCACTTCTGCCCAATTGAATTAACAATGGAAATGCACCCAAAGTTACAAGTCTAGTCTTCCTAAGTTTCCACGTAGCTAAGAAAGAGTCAGGTACCTCTACAGGGTGACTACAAGTGCCTAAGACTGGCTACTCCTCTTTCTGGCCACCAAAAGGAACCTGACTTTCCAGTGACTTCACAAGAAGAGCAGGGAGACAAGGATTTTAACGCACACGCTCAAGCGAAACGCCTAAGGCCAGAGAGTAGGGAAACCTCCTGAAGTTTCAGTAAGTAATGCCTAAGCATACTCGAACACATAACAAATGAAAGGTAAAACCCAGCTGGCTCCTCAGACTGGAGATCAAGTTTATAGGAACACTGGTGGCAGACAAGATCTCATTTAACTTCCTACTTACAAATCAATGAGTTCCACAGCAAGACACATCTAGAATGAGCGGTGAATCAGCCCAGGCGTTTCAAAGCCAGTTTTCAGATTAGAACAATTCCAACCATTCTGACCTGAAAACTTGACATTGAAATGCCTGCTGCATGGCATGCTGCTCATCAGCTTGCGGCAAACCACGTAAAGCTCAAAGGGAAGAGAGGCTCTGCAGGTTGGGCAGCGCTTCAGGCTCTATGCAAGGCCTGCTACAGACCTTATTAGTACTTTCCACAGTGATGGATGACATAATTTTTCATTCTCTCGATTAAGAGATAACAGATAGGATCTTTAAGAACCTAAAATTTTCACCAAAGCACCCAAAATGAAGAAACCTTTCAGAAAGACATTAAGTATAAAATAAAAGTTCTTCAGTATACAAAGAAAGCCCTAGATTCCTTTCAGAAGTGGCTGAGGGAATAGCAGGTAGTGAAGGTAACGGTCAACTTTGAGAGAACTGATCTGGAAAACAAAAAGCGCAATTATACTGGCAGATTGCAGTCTTCCCTGGCAAATCTACTTAGAGACACAGCTATGTCACCATTATAAGGTAATGTCCAACAAAAAATACTAAGCAGTGCTTAGTATCCTATCTTCACAACATTTTCCTTTTCCTAGATCAATGATCAGAATTTGAGGACAAAATTACTTTCAAAAAAAATCACACTGACTTCTAAAAGTAGCCAGAATGGCCTTCGCAAATTGTAAAAGTAATCAGAATGTGCATTATCAGTGTACATGATATTCTCAATCATTCCTGCAGTATCTTTCAAAACAAATTAATTCTATTTGCTCCTATCTGAAAGCCTCTAACGGTCATACTAAGAACTTGGCTCTTGAGTTCCTCAACAAAGATTATTACCCCTGCCATACATGTGACTTGTATTAACACACTGGAAGGCCTAAAAGCAGTATTTTGATTTGTCTAATTTACTCTGGCACTAATACAAGAAACATCCAGAGCACGATCCTACCTAATACAGTAGGTGAGAAAAGAATAAATGAGCAAGCAAGATCCTGAGGCCTAACTTCATCGAGAAATTATTGGTTCAGTTGACAGAAATGAAACCTACCTAAAGGGGAGGAAAATAAAAATCGAAAGTGAACACAAATCACCACAAATATAATTTGAAGTAGCCAAGATTAAGTTAAACTTATGGTATCGAGTATAGGGATATGCAAAACAGTTCTATACAATCTAAGCTCAATTAGCAAGAACAAGCCACAGCATCTCAGAGCTCACTGCGGACCAGCTCACCCCTCAGTCTACACTAGGTTCTATGATGCCAATGACTATACTTCTAAGCTAGATTATTTAAAGCCAGCTCAGGTATCTCTGTAACGCACCACCAACAGTGGTTAAACATTAGAGCCTGTGCCTATTGAACCGATATTACACAAGCTCTTCACAGGTTCACCAAATGATTTCTAAATTTCCTGCTGTCGGGCACATTTAGTCGCCAGATTGCATGTTCTGTATAGTTTTCCTGATCATGAATTGATACATTCTTGCATGTCTGTTTAATAGAGCCCCAGGATAATGTCTCCACAACAGTATTTGAACTGCCAACTTGCATTCAGATCAGATAATACAATAGATCTGAGAAGTCACTTGAAAACTGGGAAGGAATTGTTCACGTTAAAATAAACCAGTTGCCTCATAAAAACTCGATGAGTGACTATATTTAAGATGTATATGCCAGCACTTGCAAGGAATTTAGAGGGTTTACTCATATGAATAAGGCTTGGCTATTTACTAAAAATACTAGTAAGGTTTCTAAAGTTTGCGCCCATTTAAGTCACTCCAACTTAATGGCATGAAGTATACCATAATGTTTAAGAATAGATATTTACCGGCTTGATTTATTTCTAAAATAGATGATTACTAAAACACTTATTTATGCTCATAAATAATAAACCATTTAACAAATAATCCCATTACAAAATTTTTCTTAAAATGCATTCTTAGTGTACAACAGGAATTAGAGACAGCATTCCTTCCAACTCTTCTATTAATAAATACTTGCTAACGCAGATCTTTTTGTTATATGTTCTGAGAGTATAAACATTAATAGATACAATTCACATGAAGCTGACATTTTTGCTTGCTATACTTCCCTGGAATGTATGAATACAGGTAATGCATACAATGTAAAATTAAAGGGACAAACAGAATGCTTACGTTCTCTAAATGCTTTACAGTAGCCAAGGAATGACAACAAAAAGAACAGGGCACACAGTAGGTCTGCTCTGCCAACAATCCCTGCAACCTTAAAAAAAAAAAAAAAGTTTAACGTTATCAGATATTATTAGAGAACCTGAGATAAAATTTGCACACTTATACAAAGTGAAATTTAAAAACATAACACTATCACTTTTTTCTTTTTAGAACCTGGGTTACTAGTTTATTGACATCTAGTTTTCTAAATAGTAATCATTTGGCTTTAATTGAGGAAAGTTGGCTGTCTCAGGAAGCAAAAAAATGGACATCATGGAAGAAAATGTAGACTCTGTCTCACTTCATCAGATTTTTGGATTAAGGCTGCCTTTCAGTAGAACCCTTACCAAACACCCACAACCCCTACAAAATCTGTAACTCTGCTAAAATACAAATCAAGACTGTCCACTTTCAGAAGACAAGGCAGCCTTCAAACGGCAGTCTAAATACTCAGAACGAACAAATAGTTTCCAGGCTGCAGAAGCAGAAATAAGTCCCCCCTCCAGTATGTTTTTTGGCTAATATTATGATTGTGTAAGAGTTATCTCCAACTGCACCTTCTTGTGTCAGAAGTTAAACTAATGCCAGAGAAAAATCAGCAGCTCATTTAAGGGTCTCACTACTCTGGATCTGTGCCAAACTTTAGATCAAATATTCTCAGGGCCATCAACAAGCTTTGGCTCAAGCCCTTAAACTGTATTCACAGCTACCTGCTGGGAACACCTCAACACATTATTGGAACTTCATTCCCCAGTTACACAAATGTTTGGACGCAGCATGGATTTTCTGTGGAAATCGCGACACAGCGGAATGGAAGAGGTTTGTAAACTGCAGATGTTGGGACCTCCAGAGCACACACACAGAACAACGAGCTAGAAACAAAACGAGCTGTAGACCCTAGAATGCTAAGTCCCGTGTTTCTTGGGGAAGATGTCCAGAGAGGCCTTTCTGATGTCAGACAGGACAGCTGCAGTGTTCTGATCCACTCTGAGGTAATGGTTCAGGGACAAAAGCATATACTTTGGTTCTTATGTAGTGCTCCAGTTGTCCCAATTTGTGAGTGGAATAGAGAAGGGAAAGTAGAAAGAAGAAATTTATCTTCATTTGGTTTAAAGGGACCTACTAATCCTCCCTCAGGAAAAGGGAAATATTTTGTGTCAGTCTGATGTGATGGAACAGCTATTTTTGAAGAACATCAGAGGCAAACAGAAGCACAGAGGCATGAGGGTAGGAGTGAATCCATTGAAGAGACTCTCCCTCACTGCTGTACCCTCACCTTCAGCTGAGCACCATAAAAGCAGAAACTGTTGGATTCCTATATTCAGTTCAGAAAAACTTCTTGACTTATCCAAAGCCACGCACTTAACTTCTCTGCTTCTTTTTCTATCTCATAGGGGAATTATGAGGATTAACTCAATAGCTGTGAAGAGCTCTGAAAGGTGAAAATAATGAAGTGCCATTCTGCTTCAGGGACTACTTTCAACTAATGAGAAAAAAAGTAAAAGAGAGCCGAGACAATTTTGAAAATAATGCCAACTTGTTATAACAAAGAGATTAAGGGGTAACAACACAAACGGCCTCAGATGATTCCAACAGTACAAGGTTCATATCTCAGATGCCGGATCTAGTCCATAGTCTCTGATAACAAGGTAAACTGAAAAATGCATTTTTAAATTAACATCAGGCATATTTCGATGTCTATGTTTCAAAGATTTCTTACAAACATTAAGTGTTTCAAAAGAGAACTATGCCACAACGGTGTTTACTTGTATCTGTAAAAATCATAAGGACAGACATTTTTATTACATAGGTACTGAAAGCACTAAACTTTAAGATCTTGTTTACATGATAGTTTGTGTTGTATATACAACACAAAATCCAAATACATACAGAAACCAAAGCAGCAAACGGACAGATTCTTCAGAATTCTATGTTAAAATATGTCATCTCATTTCAAAACCAGGTTGCCATGATACTTAAAACTCACAGCTTTAAAATCATGAAAAATGCTGTTTGAGGAGATGTTGCCTGACGCACATTCACGTTAGAACCATAGCATTATCACGACTGTTACTTTGCAAAATATTTATCATTCACCGTGAAACTGATCAGGGGCTTTTTTCTACTCTTGGATCTTAGAAGAGACAGGGCATGAATGTGCAGCATGTTCCCTTTTCCCTCTTCTTCCAATATTTTCTCAAAGTGTTTGCGAGTTTTCAAATCTCACATATACAGACAGATGATACTACTTGGAACACGACATGACATCTTAATAACATTTGCCTGCTGATTTAAATATATTTTCAGAGTCAAACAGAAATAAAAATAAAATTGTATGCATCAATAAAGGAGTCAATAGCAAGTCTGCAGTTAAGGCTCAGGTGAGATTTCACTGTACGCTTCAGAACATCTGGAGCACTGGAGACTTGTTTTACTTCACTTTGACATCTAAAACTGGTCTTGGGGAACAAATACCAAGGGCCATTCTGACTCTAGTACAAGTGTGGTGCTCTCACACAGAAGCTATCCTGCTGGCAAGCAAACACCAGAAAATATTCAGCAGAATGTTTTAGCCTAATAAGGTGAGGAAAATCTCAGGATTTGCCAATACAGAACCCCGCACCACGTCTAGGCTCCCAATAAATAGAAGGCTCCCAGTTAGCTGTGAGGCAGAGCTTTGTCACCTCTTTAGCATCAATTAGGTGCAATGGGAATTAACTATAGCATGCTGTGATTAAGTGAAGTTACTGCTATATATGTAGAATAAGGTGCATGAAGGATTCAGTATTCATTTCTAGGGTAAAGATCAAAACTAAAACTAGTACTTTTTCAGCAGTTTAGCCCTTTTAAACTATTAGAAGTGATTCCTGCATTGAGATTATTCTAATTTTATTTATTCATAGTTATAAGATATGAAGGAACCAAGGACCACATCCAGCAGGACCACCAGCATAAGGCCAGAAGGCTTTCTTAGCTATGAGTGCAAAAACGCTTTTTAAGAAAGACATCTGTTAACTAGAATTTCCACACAGTGACTTCAATCTTGAGTGAGGTATTTTAAATGGTTGCTATGCATGTGCCTTATTTCTACTCTGCGCATCTTTATGTTTTCAGTTTCCAGTAAACATTATGCTTTGTCTGCACTCTTGAAGGACCCACTACTATCAAATTTCTGTTCCCCATGTAAGTCATTTCAGGCTGTGATCAAAAAATCCTTTAAACTTCTCCTTCATAAGCTAAAAATATAAACCCATGGAGTTCGATCTCTCAAGATACAGGACTGTTTCCAATACTTTAATCATTTTCATGGCTTTTTTGAGCCAGCATCCTCCTTATCGGCATGGATTTAAAACCGCACACAGTATTCTAGTACAGTCACATACAGAGTTCTTATAATGCCCTTCCTCCAATTTTATAACTCCTTGTTTTATACAAAGCAAATGAGAATGTAAGGTGGTTAGGCATTTGCATTCAGTTTATCTTCCACTCTCCTTGGCTGCTCATGAGCTAGTGTGTCTAGTGTTGAAGTCTTAATCCAGTAATTAGGGAAACTCTCTGTAGTTTAAGGCTACCCTTCTTTACTTTTGTACTTAAATGATTAATTTATCTTCCTTAATAAGGTCCAGCACTGTGGAATTTTAAGATTCTGGAAATGCTAACCATGATATTTGATTGTACTCACAAGATATATGTCAAGAGAAGCATGAAGAATAGATATATATACACACATGTACACACACACATATGTGTGTATAGATAGATAGATAGATATATATATAAAAGCAATGTGTAGTATGTGAGGCTATGACAGAACTAAGTAGTCAAGTTGGTAAAGAACATCTAAGATGTAAATTGTTGGAGCTAAGTTTTAGGTACTTACGCATTCAGTGTGCACTGGATGTACAGCAAACAGCAAAGCAGCTAGAAGAGATGTCTTTGGAGCCAGGTTTAGCCTTCTTCCTTTGTTACTGAATTGCAGCCCACCCAGTAATATTGAGAACACATCAACCATCAACACTGAGATAGTACAATGCAGTATTATATTGATGACATGGAAACCAAGGGGGTAGAAGCCTCCAGCAAAAAGGTAATTAATTCTGTATTGAAACAAAAACATTAAGGTTAGGAATTACATGAACGTTAGAGAGAGGCAAACAGAAAACTAGCAAAACTATATTTATACATAAAAACAATTACGGGAGTGCAAAATACTAGCAAACCCCAGAACACATGGGTATTATCACCAACCACTGCGGCAAGCTTGAAACAAGGTCTTGATCTTTTCTCCGATACAGGTATTCATACGGGATATCACATTAAGCATAATATCTATCCTTCTCCAAAGACAAAGGGTTAACACTATTACATTAATCATACCTGTCTTTACTTAGAATTGGGTTTTAGTCAGCAAAAAAATTTCAAAATTGCCATGCTGGTAAAAGTAGACACAAGGAAGTGTCCTGCAGAGAAACAACTCACTGGGGTTGTTCCCCCATACTGGGGGAATAGCCTTGGGCTTTAGAGACGGTATGCATGTAGCTTGACGAAAACATTTTAATTAAAACTACAGAATGAAAACACTAATATACCCCAAGACTAAGATTTCCATTGACATTCTACCAGGAAAATGTTCTAGCAGAATCCAGAAAGGGATCAGGCAGCAAATATAAATAACTAATTTGCAACACTGGCTACAGAGAGATTTCATAGGAGATTTAGAACCAGAAAGAACTGTAACTGAAAATTCAGTCCACGACCTTATTCAAGACAGAAACTCAGGCACAAAATGCAAAGGGAGAAGGAAAAGGGGAAGCATCTTGCTGTTTTCTGTACTACTTTTATCAGTAGGTAAGATATACAGAAACTTAGTTTGGATAGTGGATTTTATATAGTTTATCTGGTCAGCTTGCATCTGACTTAAGCGGAATCTATTTTAAAAAAAATACTGTAAATGTGATTCACAAAAGTTGGAGCTTAAGGGAGTTAAGAAGTTTCTAACTCCTGAAAATAGCATTATATGGACCACCTTCACATGCTCATCCATATTTTCCGGTAGAGTAATAACTGTATCTCAGTTCTCTCCTTCAACCAACCAAGATGTCACTACAGACAGAATACGCCACAGAGACTTGAGAAGAAAGCATGTGTTGTGTAATGCACTGAAAGCTTTAATAGGTTTAAGATATTGACACTAGCTTTTTTTCCTCACTTACATTTTTGTTTGACAACAGTGTGAAAACAAACTGTGAGACAGTAGAGTCCACTGTGCTAAGCGCTTCAGTAGCCCTAGTGAACTCAAGGGTCACAGCTATTGCTTGAACCTGAAAAGGAAGAGTGGGAGTACTTCTTCCCTAATCCCTTACTCCCCTGCTCAGACTGGACATAACTGCAGAACCAGTGTCAGGTCCTTAATCACTAGCACAGAAGGCTCACAAAACAAGAGTCGGATGGGGAAAGGTAAAGAAGCTTAAGGCTGAGTCCTCAAAGGTTCTTTGTATTACTGTGTCCAGTTCTCAGGTGGTCTACTGCTTGCACAAGCCCTTGCACAAAACACAGGAGCTAGGCATCTACAGAAGGGCTCCTCATAAACCTGTAGTTATTTGAGAAAAATCAGCAAATAAAACGCAAGTCGGTTACACAGGCAAACATCTCTTTCATTAGGATTCTCAGACACAAACACCCTGCTGAAGACAAAATATCATGGGCAAGAGGTGGGAAGACTATCCGGTGGCCTAGTGACAAAAGGCCACAGCAGATGGATGCAATTTGTCAAAAATCATTGC